TGTGTTTTATATATAGCATAATATTCTTGCTCTACTTGAACTTCTCTTTTTCCGGCACTCTCTTCTTTTATGCTCTGTTATCAATTGCCAGAACAGGATGTGTGTACATGTTCTGATTGCATCGGTTTAACAAAGGTCATGATTTTAGCTATATGAACTAACCAGGTTCTCACTATCAACACCCTCTCTCTTGCTATCTCACTCACCCATGGTTCAAACACGGATGCATGCTATGTACTCAAATCCCTAACTAACAGTTGCAATAACTTGCATTCATTTGGAGCACTCACCTGCATTTTCACAGCTTAAATGGCATTTACAGATGTATTTAATGTAGAAAATCTTACAAATCATTTAAAGTACAACAATGTCCGAACCTGTTTTAACTCCGAGCATCATTTATACTATATATAGCAAGAGAAATACAGCCATATGTATTTTTTTAAAATGTATTTCATTTTAAACTGTTGAAAAAACCTTGGGTCCTGACAAAAGGACCAAGCACAGGAAGGTTACCCCGTACCTGGGTAACAAGTGTGGTGAGGCCAGGAAGCTACAAGAGCTGCATCCTCTCTGCCATAGCTGCTGGTTTGTGCGAGCTACAGAGCAGCCACATCGGGAAGCCTAATGCAGTGCTTAATCAAAATGTTTTTCATGCCATCTGTAGGTTCAGCCCTTGACTGGAGGGATGCAAGAGATGACTTTTTAATAGCAATATTTTTTCTTCCAATAGTTCATCAAGCATTTATTACTTTAAAAAAAAAAAAAAAAAAAAAAAAGGAAGAAAAGAAAAGAAAAAAATCAATGTACTCTAAACAAGTAAAACTCATTTCCCCACCTCCAGTTAATCTGGCTTTATTTGCTTAGTATCTGTGATGTTGCAGTAATTATACTAATTCTCTAGTCATCCATTGAGTATCTCTTGAAAAACTGGATAGATGTGACCTGAATTTCTAATTCTTTCAGTTTTTTAGCTTTGTACTACTAGAGGGCCTATCATGATGTGATCCTGGCACTGCAAGTAATAAAAAGAAAGGAAAAATAATCTCAACTGCTTTTAAAAAATAAAGCAAACTCTTCAATTTTACACATGGAAAACATGTCATCTTCTTACAAGTCTTATACAGTAGCTTCATCTCCTCAACTTGTTAGGACTTGACAGATTACTGACAAACTTATTGCAGTTCACACCAAAATGCTTGCAGAACCAAGGCCTAAGCTTTTAAGATGTTGCTGCAGATCTTGTCTGATCTGTTGGTTTCTTATATGGATTTTTTCCATATGAGATTCTGTGAGTTCTGTAAGGTCAAATGTGTGTCCATTTTCTGTGTGGCAGATATTAGTAGTTTCTCTGAGCCTAGTGAGAAATAAAAGGCATTGCCTAAATCAGTGGTCTGCTCTGTTGCACCTAATTTCCTTTTTTAGTAAGATAACTGGGCTTTATGAATAATTTTTTGGCTTCAATTCCCTATTAATTACACCACGTTAAGACCACGATGAATCGGGATGCTGGTGACAATTGCTGTGCACACCCACAGGTAGGCTTGGCAGTATCCGGGTCCGTTATTGAGTGAAGCTGGGGTGACAGAAGGGCGAAGCGGGCAGCCTGCCCCGAGAGGTCCATGCCATGTGGCACAGCACCTGGCGGTGGGGCTGGAGTCGCTCCAAGCTGCTGCACGAGGCCCGTCCTGGTGGACGACGACTTGTACATGTTAACTCGCTGGCTTATGCTACTCCTGTCTAAATGTCACGCAGTCAGTGTCACGTCTGCTATTAAAACTGGCTTACTCCTTAAATTTCAGATACAGTTTACAGTTGGGAGTAATCGGATTTTCTGACTGATTTTGACTTTATTTGAAGCACAGCATACTGTAAGATGAGTTATTGTTGCAGTGCTATGAATATATGTTGCCTTCTCTTCCTGTATGTTCTTGCATGAGCATCTCATACCGTTAGATCATTTAACAAAGAATATCAGATAAGAAAGCTAGATAAAGTAGAAACTAAAGGCAATTAAAAACGCATTTGCTGCATAAAGCAAAAACTGTGCCTAGGTGAAATACAGAAACGTGCTTTCTACCTTAATCAGTTTTATGGACAGTAAAAGGAAGCTTTTTGGTGGAAATGTCACATGTCCAGAGTACAACAATGAATAAACCCAGCAAAACAGCACACTCTGACAGTTTTAACCCTGAACTTCCCAATATAAGACAGTCAGTTCTTTCTTAAATACTGTGCTAGGCTTGGGCCTGTCACCTGGATCCTGGAGTAGCTCCAGGCAGTGCAGCCCACTGCTTGTGGGTGGGAAATAAGAAAGCCATCGTGTATGCTGAGAACAGCACAGACCCTGTGAACTTGCAGCACTTACAACCCTTCCTAACTTCTTACAGGAATACAAATAGGCAGCCAGATTTGTTGGGGCCTGACCACAACTGGGATCTGGGGGAGGGAGGGAGAATAGAAGGGAAGGAAAGGAAGGAAGAATGCAATTATATCTCTTGATTTGATGTTAAACCAGTGACATTTTAAAGGCAACTGGGCTGACAGTTGCCAGTCTATTGTTACGAGGCAGAAGCTCCACAGTGAAGGTCACTGTGCTGGAAGCAGAGATGTGAACATTTTAGCTTCTCTTTTTTTGCTTTTTTCTTGTTTTGTTTACATCCAGTGCCCGCTTCTTCCCCTCACCTATTTTCTAGAGAGTACCATTCAAAGAAGCTGCTCAGCATGCCATCAGCGTATGCAGCTTCCCGGGGAGGCACCCCGAGCCCTGGAGCTTGTCTGAGCACTGCAGAGAGCTGTGAGTAGTGGCGCAGCCGCCCCAGCCCTGGGCCAGGGCTGCTCCAAACCCTCCCAGGTGTCATTTACAGAAGCATTTACTTTCTATCAACAGAAGCGAAACTGGCCCATGTCTATGAAAATATATCGGTGTGGTGAGAAAAGAACTGTGACAAAAATCTGAGAATAGAGTGCTGAACAGGACTTGCTTCCGCTGGAGGATTTAGGGCAGAGATGAATATTGATTAAACACGGTAGGACTACTGAGTCTCTTCATGTATGCTACAGTGCTTTTACACCAACTCAAAGTGAATGTCTCATCACATATGCTTCATGTGTATAAAACTGGATGATTTTTTTGCAGCATTCTCCTTCTCAAAGGTGACCTGCACCGTTTTAATTTTTGAATGGATTAACTCCAAACAGCAGGGTATGAATTAAAGGCTCCTCGAGCAGCCGTTAGAAGGTATTTTGGTTATTCAGATAATGGAGTTGCTAGTCATTTAAAAAAATTACAGGGAGAAATGTTCTTAAATGTCAGCAGCTACAGAGTGCTGGAATCACTTATGGGATTTCATGAGTTGCTATAAAACATGGTCCAGCAACAGCAAGAGCAGTCTCCCATTACCAGTCCCGTAAGTCTCAGTGTCTGCTTATAGCACCAGATACTCCTCCGCTGTTAATTGCCATCAGCTCCTGAGGTCAGCGATACTCCCACATTGCATATCAAAAGAGATTTGGTGTTAACAGCAGACTATGAGATTAAGACTAAGAGAAGACAAAGATGATTGACCCTTCTTGAGGAATTCTGCTGGTTTCACCCAAGGGTCCCTTCAGACTCCTCCTGGCTTTCCCAGAAAGGTGCTCAGGATCCAGGTAGGGGACTTCAGAGCTTCTCCCAGCCACCTTCTCTCTAGGGAATGGCTTAGGAATGAAGTCACTTGGATAAAGTGGCTAAGAGTCCTGCTGCCTGAGCAAATGCCCTGTGTTTCGACTTAGCCTACAGCAGAGAGAGTCTTCTCTGCTAACATCTAATTTGGATGTGGAAAGCTATGAAAAAGCCACCGGATTTTTCTAGAAAAACAACCAATTTCAGTTTGGCTAGCTATGAAATAATGTCACCTATATGCCACACAGTCTACTGTGGTACCTGAGTGACAATTACAGAAAAATTATTGTCATCAACAAAACAGAGCCTTCACTTTTAGCGCTGAATATTTTAATTCAAGCCCTTTTAATGAGAGCTTTTAGCCCTCATTTCACTGAGAATTGCTGGTGTGGATGATGCTGCAGGATCAGCAACTGCAAAGGGAGCTTCTCCCTATGATATTCCTGCTTTCATCAACTGTTCAGGGCAGGAGTGTAGGCAGGTGATAGCTTCTCTGCTGCGAAGTCCCTTTTGCTGGCAGGATTGAATCAATAAATGACTTCAAATGTTGTTATGATCCTAAGAGCAAAATGATTTGCACCGAATACTTGCCAGTCTGCTACCAGCACAATAGTCCCCCATTATAATTTTAGTAGAAGATGAGAACATAAAAAAGAGTCTTGTTATTACTCTGTTAAGACTGTGAAAAACACACTCATGTTCCTAATTCCTTACTTTAATTGAATACAAAGATGTCAGTGCTAGAGTGTTCAGTTGCTACATATAAAATCAAATTTGGTAGGTAGTAAATACAGGAGGACTGAAGGTTTAACAGTTATAAACCAAGGGACACATTCAAGATAAAACTGTCTTCACTTCAGCAACACTATTACTACAATAACAACCTTAGATTTATTAAAATAGAACTAAGTTTAAATGCATTTACCTTTCCTTTTCATTTTTATTACTTTTTTATATATATCTAAGAAACAAAACTCACTTAAACACGAACTGGGTATTTTTTGATTCCAAACCTTTATAAACTTTCACAATGCAGAATAAATTTTTAAACATCAATTTTAATAAAAACTTAAGTAAAAGTTTTTCAGATATGATTTGCCACTATTTCATGTATACAGCTGGTAATTTGATACAAAAAGGCAACTGCATTCTGAAAACATCTGGTTCTTTGGGGTAAAAAGAGAAGGATTTTATGTTGTGAAGTCTTGTAAGAGAGCAGAAGAAAGCAATCCTTGTGTCAAGGCTGCCAGCTTTCCACAGCTACAGTTTGTCATCCCGTATGTATTATTTGTCTTTGGATGCTCACAGTTTGATGGTGCGTTTTGTTTATCCATAGGTGTTTCGAAGTCCCCCTGGCTGGAGTCCTCTGGAAGAGCCCAGAGTCATGGAACTGCCTCGCCCGCAGAGGACAAGCTAACCCATCCCTGGGATTTGCCTTGAAAACTTGTGCTGCCCAGTGCAGTCGCTGCTGGATTTCCTTTCTCAGGTATGTCTGTCGTGCGGCCTGCCAGGTGAAGCACTCACGGGGATGCTGGCAAAGTGGTGATAAAACTCACTGCACTGCTGCATGGCTTCAGGCCATGTATGTGGAAAGAAATGATGCTTGCTTACTGCATTAAGCTCACTGAGCTTTTGGGTGGAAAAGCAAAGCGTAAGTGATTATTAGACTGTTTGATTAAATGGTGTTTAATAGACATTGCAATAAAAGCTTTTATGATTAGCTGGGCCTGGCCGCACCTGCCTGGGGAGCTGGGCTCTGCCTGCTGGCAGGGTTCAGGCTCCCGATAAAACCTGTGGGGAGAGGCACAGAGATGCTCCTCAGGCAACTTGTTGTGGTCCTACCATAGGGCCCCTGCAGGGTTCAAATCATGATATGATCAGTAAAAGTGACTTGAAAATGCTCTGAAAAAAATGTCAGATAGGAAGTACCAATTTGATGCAGTTTCGGTATCCCTCAGGATTGCATGGGACGTCCTGAAGTGCCCAGCTGGAAGGGCTTTAAGGGGCAGAACCACAGCAGCCTCCAGCAGCCTGGCCAGGCTGGGAGCTAGCTGGGAAGCTGGGGACTGACATTCTTCTAAAAAGTGGCCCGAGGCATTCAAAAAAGGAGTGTTCCTAAATATTTTTTCCATAGAGATGTTCGTGTATCTTTACATTCAGGTACGGATACCTTAAAAAACCTGAAGGAAATTTCCTGTGGGTCATAAAAGCCACTTCTTATGCCATCCCAGTGATTAAATGAAGTTATGGCTGGATAAAATGGGGGCCTCATGGAATTGCAGAGGGGAGAAGAAGGCCAAAGACACCTCAGATTTATTAAAATACAGTCTCCCCTCATTGCTTACAGCAGAAATCAAACTGTGCCTGTGGTTATAACTCACTGTAACGACCTTACTGACTTGACTCCCGAGCACTTCTGGTTTTTAATTGGGGCATTTGCCTGAGGAACAGCTGAGCCGCACAAACGGGTTCTTTTATGGCCCGGTACTCCGAATGGACAGAGCCGTGCGCCTGTTTTTTCCGCCAGGCATTTTAACGAGGAACAAGCGCGGGGAGCTGCGAAGCCCGTCCGGCTGCAAAGCCCCGTCCTGCACCATGAGGCCGGCAGGCACGAAACCTCCGCGGCGGCAGCAGGGAGGGAACGAGGCCGCGGAGAGGCCGCGCGGAGGCCGTGGCGACGGAGGCGGGGCCGGGCCGGGGCCCTCCCGCCGGGGGCGGGCCGCGGGGCCGGGCCGGGCGCGGGCGCGGCGGGGGCCGCCCGGGTGGGCGGGGGGCGGGCCGGGCCGGGCCGTGCCGCGGCTCCGCCGTGCGGGGGCAGAGCCGGGGCCGGCCGGGTGCGGGAGAGGAGCCGGGGCCCCGCCGCCCGGTCGGAGCGCGCCGGGAGCCCCGAGGAGGAGCGGCCGCGGCGCGGTGATGGGGCTCGGAGGGGAGCCCGGCGCCGCCTCCTCGCTTCTGGGCAGCGGGAGCCCCTCTTCGGCGCAGGGCAGCTGAGCCCCTCTCGCCGCCGAGCACGGGACGAGGTGTGACCGCTCGGTTCCCAGGATCGCCGCCTCCAGCCCCGAGCGAGCCTCGGTCGCCGGCCGCGGATTTTCCGTCTGGTCCCCCCCGTCCGGGCGGAGGCTGCCCGGGAGGCTCGTCGGGGAGCCGGGAGCCTGGAGCCGGGCCGCGGCGTGCGATGGATTGAGGCGTGCCCGGCTGCGCCCCGAGCCTGGCCCCTCGATGCGATGGGCAAGCGGGGGCTCCTCGGCACCCTCTGTTACCTGATGGTCAACGCGCCCCTGCTCTTCGGCGTGACCGGTGAGTGGGGGGCTCCCGGGGCCGGCATCGGCGGGGAGCCGGGGCGGGAGGGCGGCGGGGCGGCGGGCAGCAGTGCCTCCGGCCGGGGGCTTCCCCGGAGGACCGGGAGGGGAGAGGGGGTGGGAAGGGAGTCCAGGCCCCCGTCAAACCTCTCCTGCCCGCTGGAGCCGCGGCACCGGCTTGTCACGGTGCAGGGTGCCCGGGCCGCCCGAAAGCGCTCAGCCCCTGGGCTCCGCAGCTCCCACTCGCCGAAGAAGTCTGGTGTTGGCTTTGAACCTCCCGTTAACCAGCCCTTGTCCTTCTGTCTTCCCCTCCCAGGTACCTTTACCGAAGTTCCCAAAGATGTGACTGTTAGGGAGGGAGATGATATTGAGATGCCTTGTGCTTTCCGAGCCAGCGGATCCACCTCGTACTCCTTGGAAATCCAGTGGTGGTACCTTAAAGAACCAGCCAGAGAACTTGCACACGAATTAGCCATCAGCGTCCCCGGCAGCAGGAGCAAGGTAACGCGGTGCTGTGTAGACGTGTCCGTGCAGTGTGTGCACAGGGTGGTCAGGATGGACCCTGCGGTCCCAGAGAGGACAGTGGGTACTGGCAAGCAGGTGGAAGCACTGGGACAGGGAGGTCGGGGCATGTGCCGGGGGGCTTCACCCCAGGAAAAAAATAATATTAAAAATAGTGCTTTAAGGATCGTAAATAGAAAATGCTAAATGTCCTGACTACAAAATCAGCAACGAAGACTCGAGAGAGACAGTCAAAAGTAGCTGTAGTATGAAATGGGAACGAGGAAAAGAAAGTGCTGCTGTGAGCTCTGCTGGGAATCGCCATGAGAGGTGGGAGAGCCTCTGTCTGCACCCTGATAGAGCAGATAAAGGCATGAGAGAAACACCTCTCTGCCTTCGGATGTTACATACATCGCAGTCTGAATATGCAAACGCACACGGTTTCTTGGGCTCTCATATGCACCTGTGTCTGTACCTGGAGCTTGGCAAGATGCTTCCACGCAGTTGGGTGAAGAAATTAAAATGCACGGAGTTCAATCTCGCGTGTTCTCTCCCCTAGCAAGCCGTCTGGCTGGAGGGCAGGCTCTGCTGCGAGGCACTCGGCACTCAGCTGCCTTTCCCCAGGTGGTGCTGCAGCCCCCAGCCCCGCTGCGGCGATTTGGGGTGCCGACCCTGTAGCGCGGGGCACGGCCCCCCCAGCCCCACAGCAGCCGCCCGCACCAGCTGCCCTCAGCCCTCCGCTCGTTTTTCTGCAGCGCTCGGATAGCGCCACAGAGCAGAGCGTACCGCTGAGCTAATGCGGTGCCGCCTGGCTGGGGAAAGTGTAAGTCGCTTGTCAGGCGGGGAAATTAATCGCTCGGATTTAAACGTCTTCTTTAACCTCCTGTAAACGCCGTGAGTTGCGTTCACAACAGACGATGACGGGCTGAGCCTGCGGGATGCCGGCCGGCTCCCCGGGAGGCGCATCCCGGGGCTCCGAGGCGCCGCTCGGTGCCGGGGGGCGGCGCGGCTGCAAGGGGCGATCCTCGGGGGCTGTCGGGGCCGTCCCCCGGGCTGTGGGCAGAGGAGCGTCTCGGGGGTGCGCTGCCGGAGCTGCCTCTCATCCTTGTCCTTTCCGTTCCCGCAGGTGGCAAACAAGGACGCAACGAAAATCAGCGTAAGTGCAGCCGGGGCGGGGGGGCGCGCACCCCTCCCGTGCACGTCGGGTTCCCCCCCTCCTCCTCCTTCACAGGGAGCTCCTCGCACGGCCGGAGCGGGGGGGAGGGGGAGGTTGACCGGGCTCCTCGAGCACCCCTCGGGGTGGCTCCAGCCCGAGGGGCCGGGTGCTGAGCGGCGTCGGGGCACTCTCTTGCAGACGGTGCGCGTCCAGGGCAACGACATCTCGCACCGGCTGCGGCTGTCGGGCGTGCGGCGGCAGGACGAGGGCGTCTACGAGTGCCGCGTGGCGGACTACAGCGCCGACGAGACGCAGGAGCACAAGGCCCAGGCGCTGCTGCGCGTCCTGGCCCGCTTCGCCCCCCCCGACGTGCAGGCGGCCGAGGCGGTGTCGCACATCCAGAGCGGGGCGGCCCCGCGCCGACACGGCCCCGCCGCCAGGGCCACGCCGCCGCCCGGGCCCGGGCCCGGCAAGCGCCCGCCGCCGCCCCCGCCGCCCCCCCCGGCCGACGGGGGGCCCTCCGCCGCCAGCACCGCCGCCACGGCCTCCTCCTCGGCCTCGCCGCCGCCCGGGCAGGCAGCCATCCTCCGGCAGCAGCACGGGTCAGGTAGGGAGCGGCGGGGCCCGGGGGGGGGAGAGCGGAGCGGGCGTGAAACGGCCCCCGAGGGCGGGGCGCGGGGGGGGGCGCAGCCCGGAAAGGCTTCGGGGCGGCTGCAGCGCGCTGCTGCTGCCCGGCTGCGGCCCGGTGCCACGGTGCCGTGCTGGGGGTGCGGGACAGAGCTGGAAAGCTCCGTTTACGCTGCTGACGGCAAGGCGTGGGACGAGGAATGCGGGCTGAAAGCTGCGCTGCACAGGTACTGCCTGCAGCCTGCTGCTGCTGCCTGCCGAGGCGGAGCTCGTCGCCACTCCCGTCGAACAAACGCCCTGTGCGAGATGGGCAGCGGGCACACGGCACCGGCTGTGCAGGGAAAGCCCCGAGCTCCCCTCGCTGCTTGGTCTCTTCTGACACAAATTCATAATCCTCAGGCAGGAATATTCACGCTTCTTCCTGGCACCTCTTCACAGACGGAGCAAATGTTTGCAGGTTTTTGCTCACAATAAAGGAAAACTATCACTCGTGGTCTGCTGTGACCTGCTGGTGCTTTAGAGGTGCAGCGTTTTCTCTGGTTATGACCCTTTGTTGTTTGTGAAGAATTTGGTTTGTTTCTCAGGTAGAAGTTTATGTGAAAATTAAGTTTTACTGTCTGTTAAGACTGTAAGTTACGTATTCACTGGTAACTAGTGCAAGGCAGAGTGATAATTCCGGAGGTGTAGTTACGGGTGCCTGGGGCACATTAAAAAGTTCTGGTTGCTTTTGCTGAATTCAGTGACCACAACAAATGAACCCAACGCCACAATACATCTGTTCTTTCCTATTGGAAAGACCAGCTGTCTCCCTCAGAGCCCAGGGCTGGTGACTGTTTTTGTGTTTCTTCGTTCGTCTCTCCGATAGTGAGTATTCTTGCAGTGTTTTCCATGCGAATGACAGAAGTTTCATTTAGGATTTGCAGTACCGTGCACCCTGCCTGCTGCACCCAGAGCTTACATGGTGCATACAAACTAAAAACGGGCTGATGGAAGCTCTGGGCTCAGCTCCATCTCAACAGATGGATGTGAGCGTGTGCCGCCAGGACAGCGTGTCACATATGTCTGTTAGGGCAGGACCCCTGCCCAGAGCATCTAAACTGCTGTCTGTCCTGTTTTTTTACATGTCTGTGCTTTGGGGATGTGGTACGGCTGCATCATTTCTAGGCTTTATTACATATTGAAAATAAAATATAAGCATTGTGGCCAGCACTGGAGATAATGAAGTGACAATAATCACTGAAAAAGGTGGTGAAATTCAGGAGGGTGTTTTGTGGGGATCTCCAGATGGAGAGTGATGCAAAGAGGGCTGCAGCATGGCTAAAACAAAGCCTCCTGCTGTGACACCTCTTAGTGCTCGCTGGCAGCTGCCAACACTGCCACGCTGTGGCGGCTTCCCTTCAGGGACAGCACTGAGGGTGGCGTAGGGAGCACACGACTCTTGTTGATGTTATTTAATTTAGTAAGCTATAAACCAGCAACTGCCATTGTCTCTGTACAAGGGAGGCAACTCCTTTTGTATTTTTGCTACGGTCCTCTGTGAAAATAACATCTTTTTGCACTGAATCAAGAAACCCAAATGACAGGCTTCTGCTTTGGCTTCCTGTAATTTCTGTGTTTGTGGCAGCTGCCTCTAAGTACTTGCAAATAAAGCATCAACCCCAGCATGGCTCAGGAGATTGACAACTGGAAGGCTTGACACTCCAATCTCCAGTTCGGGTGCCTTCTGGTCCAGAGCTCTCTGAGCCTTACTACCAGTGGATGTCTCCCTGGTCGCTTTGGTAAGCGGATTGCTGCTTGCTGCCCCCATCCCCGGTGTGTTTAGACAGGCTGGGCTGGGCACTTAGTTTGAAGCAGAGAGAGATGGCTTGGTATGGAGACAAGAAATGGATTTATCTACCCTAGATGAGAAGTGTTTCTACCTATCCAGAATAAATATGTACTAATGGATAAAATGCCAGTGTGGAAGTTGGTGTGATGAGGAACCACAAGGGTTTTGCCTGCTTTTGTGAGGAAACAGAAGACTTGGATCTCCAGCGCTGTCACTCTGATGGGATAAGTACTAAACTTTCTTCAAAATGTCTTAAAAAAAGCTGGCATCATCATGCTTCAGAGTACCCATTTGTATGGTGAAGTGGAGTTCTTT